AAATAGAGATTGTAACCCGCAATTTATTTATTTTAATTCAATAAAAAATATCTTTGTTCAATTTTTCTTGTTTGTTTATATCGCAGATAAGAATTTTTTGTTACAAATTTTGGCACGCCAAGTGGGACATCTCTAGCTCTCATCTCTTCTCTCTCTCTCGAAGATCCTCGAAGTGTTGCGATAACTGCTCGCAATGAAGGGTGTTACTTTGAATTCATCAAGTGTGGGCGTAGTTACAAGCAGTATGACTAAGAAACTGCAGGCATCCTCCGAGACTAGCTCGACACCCCAAATCATTGAGAAAGGCTCGTCACTTCTCGTCAACATAGGTGGAGGCGTGGAAGGATCTAGAGGAGAAGTTTCATCATCCAGGTCCCGTTCAACATCAAACTACTCTGATGTGGCCACCGTCATGACAACACATACTACGACCATGGAGGAGCAAATGGCCATCTTGACCAAGGCCATTGAAGGGCTAACAAAGCACATTCAAGAACAAGACTCCCAAATCGCGATGTTGAGGAACAAGGTTGACGGTAGTCACGACATGGGAAAACAAGGTGAAAATCACACCGAAGCTGAAACTTCTGCAAGGTGACATCCAATCGAAAGGGAGAAGAGCCCAGCTGAAGAATTCCAGATTTCGTTAGAGGGGTTAATTCCTATAGACCAATTGAAGGAGTTCAACATGAGGACTATTAAGGACAAATTCGATGAGGGATCCAAATTCATCGTTAACATACACCAAGCCATACACTCTAAGAGTAGACGACTTGAAGATGCCAATTGGTACCAACCCCCGAAATTTCAGCAATTTGATGGCAAGGTGATACGCGTAAAACCTACGTATAAAAAACCGCAAGTGTACAGTATCGCGTTTTGCAGAATAGTGAATTCCGGATATCGATGTGTACAGTATCGCGTTTTGCAGAATAGTGAATTCCGGATATCGATCCACAGGGAATTAAGTTCCTAAATCTACCAAGTACCGTAATTATACTATCCTAAACTTTATCTAGACGAACAAAAGAATGGGGGATGACATGAAGCTAAAACGAAACAAAAATAAAAACAACGGTCCGCCAGAACAAGCGAAGAATTCCGACGTGTGATGGCTTCTAGGGTAAAATCCACCAGTGTACTATCGATAAAGATCTACAAATCGAAATCTATTGTCAATTCTATGTTCGCTAACCCAAACACTAAAGTACCCTAACCCCCGTCTCCAGTGTAGTTAGAGTCTACCCACAGGTCCGACGTCTCCGTTCAGAACCTGATATTAAGAGAGCATTTAGGTCAAGTCCTTAAGGGCTACCCGAGGTGCATCACGTCTCCGTTTCCACAACCCGAGCTATGTTTTCCTAAAATCAAACGAGAAATCCTCTCTCGAGTTCATTCCCATTTACAATCAATTCAACTGTTGGCCAAACAATCGAAAGCATTTAATACAGGAAAACATAAACAGAATCAAAGAACGACAAATAGATCACATATCTGGAAATCAAAATCAATATATACAAGGTTTCATTTCCCTAAAAGAAAATGCTTAGTTCATTACAAACATAACATCAAAATGAAGAACACGAGAAATCATAAACTAAACGTAAAGAAAAAGCTTATGAAAAACCCGAGTCGAAACCCTCGTCGAAGCTTCCCGCGAAGAACTGGCGAGAACCGAAGAGAAAAACCGAAGAAGATCGAAGAAGCGTCCCAGAAACCGTAGAAGAATGAGGCTTGCTTCTATTTATAGTAAGGCAAAGCTTCTTGAGGAAGCTTTGCCTTTTTAGATATTTTTTACACATCCCGAGGCCATATCGCGATATGGGAATCAGTATCGGGCGATATGGTAAAATTGCAAGCTCTCTGTTTCGTTTCTCCCCATATCGCGATATGGAGTGTCATATCGCGCGATATGGCAAAAATGCAAGCTCTCTGTTTCGTTTTCTCCCATATCGCGATATGGAAGGTAATATCGCGATATGGTCGCTGCAATAACTTCAAACTCTGTTTTGACCCTTTTGGAGCCCGAATTTGACAATTTTGCATTTCACAAAAGTTGTAGCCCTTGCAGTTGGCTTTCTAAATCCATTTGAATCAGCTCAATCGGAGGTCGTATGAAGAAGTTATGCATAAAATACCGAACGCTGCCACCATCCACTTGATTGCAATTTTTGCTCTTGTGTGACTTGATTCTCGGCTTCGCTTTCAAAATCGTTTCGAATCGGCAAAAATAGCTAACAAAACCTAAAAAAAGAAATAAAACAAGAAACACATAATATATACAAATAAAGCCGAAAACTCGTACGAACGAAGACCAAAACTTGAAGAATTGATAAGTGAAAATCATTCAAAACGAACACTTATCACAAGGGCAACCCAAAACAGCATGTGGCACATTTTGTTGACACTTGTAACAATGCTGGAACTTTTGTAGACTATCTCGTGAAACAATTCGTCCGATCATTGAAGGGGAATGCTTTCGATTGGTATACAGAACTAGAGTCGAACTCAATTAATAGTTGGAGTCAGATGGATCAAGAATTTTTGAATCGCTTCTACAGCACCCGAAGAACAGTGAGCATGATTGAGCTCACGAACTCTCCCCAGTGGTAAGAAGAGGCCGTCATTGACTACATTAACCGTTGGAGGAATTTAAGCCTGAATTGCAATGATCGATTGTCAGAGGCTTCAGCTATCGAGATGTGCATTCAAGGAATGCAATGGGGACTCCGATATAGCCTGCAAGGGATTCAACCTAAGACTTTTGAAGAGTTGGCCACTAGAGCGCACGACATGGAGTTGAGCATTATGGCTAGTGGAGTTGTGGGACCACCAGTTCAAGAGCCTCGACAGTCGAAAGAAAAAAAAGACTTTCGCAAAGGGGGTAGAGTTTTCTCTAAGACCTCAAGCAAAGAATCTTTAGCAGTGAATGCAACCCCTATCAAATTTCAAGAAAAGTGAACGGAAACAATGAGGAAAAACAAGATTTTTCCCAAGAAATAAGAGAAAGAAAACTTACCCTAAAAGAAATGCAAGCAAGGGAGTACCCGTTCCTCGACACTGACGTGGCTGGAATATTTGACGATTTGCTAGGTTTAAAACTTATCGAGTGCCTGAAGTGAAGCGCCCTGAAGAAGCTAGCAAGACCGATGACCCAAAATACTGCAAGTATCATCGACTGGTCGGGCATCCAATTCATGATTGCTTCGTATTCAAAGATAGAATTATGAAGCTAGCTCGCCAAGGGAAGATATCACTTGAAGAGATCAGCGCCACGACAAATTTTATCGTCAGCACTTTAGAGCCCCTTGTTGCAAGTGGAACGACTCCATCTCCAAATGAAGTTTGTACCGTGATCGGTAAATGCATGTCAACAATGACTTTCGCTGATGAAGATTTACTTCTTGGTTCCAAACCACACAATAGGCCATTGTTTGTTTCCGGCTACGCTCGTGAGCAGAAGATGAATATAATTTTAATTGATGGAGGTTCTGCAGTCAACATTTTGCCGTTGCACACTTTAAAGGAACTGGGGATCTCCACGGATGAGCTCAAAACTAGTCGCTTGATGATCCAAGGATTTAATCAAGAAGGTTAAAGGGCCCTTCGTATCATAAGGATAGAGTTGTTAATGGATGATATATTGTCCAGCACACTGTTTCATGTCATTGGTGCAAGAACCTCATATGGCATGCTTCTCGGGCGACCTTGGATACATGAGAATAGTGTGGTTCCTTCTTCTTGGCACCAATGTTTCAAGTATTGTCGAGACGGAGTAGTTAAAATAATACTCGCCGATGAGAAACCGTTCACCGAGGCAGAAGCCCACTTTGCCGATGCTAAGTACTATCTTGATGATGAAAAGACGGTAAAGGACAAAAAAATTATACCAGTTGAAGAACCAAAGCGAAGAAATAATCAAGACAAGGCTCCTTTAGCGTGTGAGGCTTTGAAAGATTTGATGTTGCCCCTAACACCAATTGATGAGAAGCGATCAACTTCTCAACCACCTAAAGGATTTGTTCGTCCCACAGAAGGAACCCAAGAGGAATGCGAAGAATTCTCCGAGTCCCAAATGAAAAAAAAAATTGGCCCAAAAGATTATAAACTCTTAGTAAAAGCCGGTTTCAACCCACGTGAAGATTCTACACTTGGAAAGCTTCATGCCGAAGTTGTTGGCGAAAAGGTGCATGGCCTCAAAACTACTCAAATAATGTTGAAAGAAAAAGGGACATACTATTCAAAGTCCTCGAGTTGGTCTTGGATTTGTTCCACAAAAGCCAATTCGTATTGCTATCAATAGAGCTACCAGTAATTACATAATCGAAGATGAATTCTCATCAATAAACGACTTTCTTGAAACTGGAACAAAAGTAAGAAGGACATCCATCTTTGATAGGCTTGCACCATATGTCTTCGATAGACTTGCGCCATCCGTCTTTGATAGACTTGGACCACTTAGAGAGTGGGGGCATGAAAAAGGCGACAAACAAGGTTTTGATAGATATACGCCATCTGTCTTTGATAGGCTTGGACCACTTAGAAAGTGGGGGCATAACAAAAGCAACACGCAAATTTTGAGTGTCTCTAATACTAAAATCACCAAAATAAGAAGGATTCGAAGTTCAGTTCCGTCTCGCATGAAACGGCGTACTTATTTGACCATATCATGTGGTGAAGAGTTGAAGGCTAAAATGCGAACTGTCGTCTTTACAAAAATCCAAGACGACGAGGAAGATGACAGAGAAAGCGTGGCATCATCGCATCATATCACTTTAAGTAAAATAGACATGATTGAAAAAGAAGACGCCGAAACTGCTCCACCCGAGCTTGAAGAAGGAATCAAAGCCACGATCGATGAGTTAAAGGAAATTAATTTAGGAGATATGGAGAATCCTCGACCAATTTACATTAGCGCCTTATTAGATGTCAACGAAGAGGAGAGTTATATTTAATTGTTGCACGAGTTCAAGGATGTGTTTGCATGGTCTTATAAAGAAATGCCCGGATTGGACCCAAAAGTGGCAATACATCATCTCTCCGTGAAGAAAGGAGCTCACCCTATGAAACAAGGCCAACGTAGATTTAGACCTGAATTAGTTCCAGCAATTGAGGCCAAAGTGAACAAACTTATTGAGGTTGGTTTCATTCGAGAAGTCAAGTACCCAACATGGATTTCAAGTATCGTTCCTGTCAGAAAGAAGAATGGACAAATTCGCTTTTGTGTCGACTTTTGAGATTTGAACGAAGCATGCCCTAAAGGCGACTTTCCAATGCCAATAGCCGAACTAATGATTGATGCTACTACGGGCCACGAAGCATTATCATTTATGGATGGGTCGTCTATAAACAATCAAATACGAATGGCGCCGAAAGGTGAAGAATTAACAGCCTTTCGCACGCCTAAGGGTATCTATTGCTATAAAGTGATGCCGTTTGACTTGAAAAATGCCGGTGCTACATACCAAAGAGCCATGCATAAGATATTTGATTACATGCTCCATAAAGATGTTGAATGTTATGTGAATGACTTGGTGGTTAAATCCAAAAGAAGGGAAGATCATCTCCAGAATTTGAGAAAAGTCTTCGAGCGCTTGAAAAGGTACCAATTGAACATGAATCCGTTGAATTGTGCATTTGGTGTTACTTCGGGGAAGTTTCTTGGATTCGTAGTTCGTCATCGAGGCATAGAAATCGAACAAGCCAAGATTGATGTAATTTTAAAGATTCGCGAGCCTATGAACATTCATGAGCTCAAAAGTTTGCAAGGAAAGTTGGCATACCTAAGAAGGTTCATTTCAATCTTAGCCGGTCGATGTCAACCATTCAGCCAACTCATGAAGAAAGATGTTCCCTTTGAATGGGATGAAGCTTGCACTAGTGTCTTCGAAAGCATAAAATCGTATTTAACGAATCTTCCTGTGTTGATTGCACCAGTGTCTGGACGATCGTTAATACTCTATATTGCTACTCAAGAACGATCTGCCGGAGCTTTACTAGCGCAGGAGAATGATGATGGAAAAAAGAGCGCCTTATACTACTTGAGTAGAACAATGACACCAAATGAATTGAACTTTTCGCCAATCGAAAAGATATGCTTAGCGCTCATTTTTGCAATTCAAAAGTTGAAGCATTATTTTCAAGCACATGTTGTCCGTCTAATCTCAAGGTTGAATTCTCTAAAGTATGTCATGTCAAAACCCGTCCTATTCGAGAGACTCGCAAGGTGGTATCTGCAATTGCCGCAGTTCGACATAACATATATTCCACAAAAGGTTGTGAAAGACAAGTTCTAGCCGATTTCTTGGCAGATCACCCTATCCCTGCAGAGTGGGAGTTATCCGATGATCTACCCGATGAAGATGTTCTTGTGATTGAATCTAGTCCTCATTGGGAGATGTATTTTGATGGAGTTTCTAACAAAGAAGGAGCAGACACCAGAGTAGTATTCGTCACGTCCAACGGTAAAGTATTGCCTCACTCGTTTACCTTAATGCAAAATTGCTCTAACAATGTTGCTCAATATCAAGCTCTTATCCTGGGGTTAGAAATTTGCGGTGGATATAAAGCAACTAAACTTGAAGGTATATGGAGACTCCAAGTTGGTGATCAATCAAATACTCGGATCATACGAAGTTAAGAAGCTCGATCTACTCCCTTATGTGGATTATGCTAAAAGACTCATTGGATACCTTGGTGATGTGACAATATAACATGTGCCGAGAAAGGATAACAAACAAGCGGACGCATTGGCAAAACTTGCTTCTACTTTAGCCATGCCCAAAGACGGTGCTCGTATATCAATTTGCAAGAGGTGGGTCGTACCACCAATCTTTGAAGATCAAGAAATTGAAGAAGACGAAACTCGAGTGGTCTACGTGTTTGAAGTTGAGAAAGAAGATTGGCGTCAATTATTTGTGGATTACTTGAAGTACGAGAAGTTGCCTAATGATCCACGTCAGAGAGTTGATATTCGACGTCGTGCGGCTCGTTTCATCTACTACAAAGATACACTTTACAGACGTTCATTTGATGGAGCCTTCTTGAGATGTTTAGGTGATGACGAAGCCATTCAAGCCATAGAAGAAGTTCATTCCGGAATTTGTGGCGCCCATCAGTTAGGACCCAAGTTACAGTTCCGAATAAAAAGAATGGGTTATTATTGGCCATCTATGGTAAAGGATTGCATGGAGTATGCCCAAAAATGCCAACCTTGTCAATTTCATGCAAACTTTATTCATCAACCGCCGGAGCCATTGCACCCTACTGTTGCTTCATGGCCCTTCGATGCTTGGGGCTTGGATGTGGTTGGACCTACGATGAAGTCTTCTGCTAGAAATCTCTATATCTTGGCTGCAACATTCTACTTTTCCAAATGGGCTGAAGCAGTGCCCCTTCGAGAAGTAAAGAAGGAGAACGTTGCCGATTTCATCCGCATCAACATCATCTACCATTACGGAGTTCCTCAATATGTAATCACAAACAACGGAAATCCATTCTGCAACGGTGTGATAGATAAACTTTGTGAAAAGTTTGGCTTCAAGCAAAGAAAGTCTTCAATGTACAACGTTGCCGCCAATGGACTCGCCGAGGCCTTTAACAAGACTTTATGTAATTTGTTGAAGAAAGTGATTGCCAAGTCAAAACGCGATTCGCACGAAAGGATGGGGGAAGCTTTATGGGCCTATAGAACAACTTATAGAACACATACTCAAGCCACTCCTTATGCGTTGGTGTACGGAGTGGAAGCGGTCTTGCCTCTTGAAAACAAATTCCGTCATTGAGGATAGCTGTACAGGAAGAATTCACTTAAGAAGAAAATGCTCGTTTGCGTCTTGCAGAATTGGAAGCTCTTGATGAGAAAAGATTAGAAGCACAACAAAGTATTGAATGCTACCAAGCTCGTCTTTCTAAGGCATTTAACAAGAAGGTGCGGCCGAGATCGTTTCAAGTTGGAGATTTGGTACTTTCCGTAAAGAGGCCCATCATCGTCACACATAAAACGGGAAATAAATTTACTTCAAAGTGGAATGGTACTTATGTCATCAAAGAAGCATACACAAATTGATAAGGAACGTCAAATTGGATTCGTGTTGCAAAATAACTATTTAATTCGGAGAAGAGTTATTAATGGGCATTGGTGGAAATATCGAAAGAAATTATGGAAAAATAAGGGTTTTCGACGAACTCAAATCGTAGTTGAGTACGAAACGAACTCTATCTCAAGTGAAACGGCGCAAGGAACAAAACTCATGAGATTTGCTCATGAATCACGTCCAATTTCAGCAATCCAACGTCGTTTAGACTCCTAAAAGTTCGTTTTTGCTATTTTAGGTAAGTTTTAGAAAATTAATATCAAATCATAGAAAAATCGTATTAGGATTCCGTAAATTGGGTTGTTCCCAAAATTACGAGATCTACTAGAATTAGGATTTAACTCGTTTTTGCCGTTTTTGGTAATTTTTAGTATTTTCTTATTTTAATTAGGGTTTTCAGTTTTTTTAGTATAAATAATTGCCTTAGGACTTTATTTTGGAAGAAATTTCGAATTTTAATAAAATATTTAGAGTTTTCTCTATTTTTCTGGTGGATTCCAGAGTTTTCGGTGGATTCCGAATGTTATCGTGTTCTATAGGATTAATTCGTAGAAATTAATTCTTTACCGTGCTTCCGTCCTGCGTCAGTTGGCATCAGTAGCGAGGTTTTTCCTGGTTAGATGGCGAAAGGTGCAAGATATGGAGACAACAACTATGTTGGCGATGACCGCGGGGTTGAGAAACTGCAAAATCTGCGGTTGGTGCGCGAGGGATTTGCCCTTGACAACAACAACAGAAGGACTGAATCTAACACGATGATTGCCGACGGTGTAGCCCGAGGTGCATATGTTAGACACAATTATCATGGACCTGTTCAACTTCAATCAAGGTATGAGGACTATTCAAAGGGAAGCGGCAACTCTGATTTTGAAGAAAATCCGCCTATAAAGAGGCAAAAGGATCGTGATAAATATCGGGTAAGAGCTGAAATTCCTTCTTTTAGTGGAAATTTTCTTGAAGTTGAGGATTTTATCGATTGGGTGTCAGAAGTTGAAAATTATTTTGAATTGATGGGTATTTTGCCGAATAAGATGGTAAAATTGGTTAGGTGTGAGTTAAAGGGTTGTGCAGCCGCATGGTGGGATGAAATACAGAGGAAGAGAGCTAGACAAGAAAAATTTCCAATCCAATCATGGAGGAGGATGAGAAAAATGTTGATGGATCGTTTTTTACCCCTAGGTTATGAGCAACGTCTATTTCAACTATATCGTAATTGTTCGCAAGGGAGTAGATCTGTTAACATGTATACTGCTGAGTTTATGAGACTAGCAAACTTAAATAACCTGCAAGAATCCGAAAGTATGGAAATTTCAAGGTACTTGCAAGGATTGAATATTTCAATCCGTCTTAGGATGGGGTGGCGCGCATTCGACTCCCTTGAAGAGGATGAAGAGTTTGCATGGAGCGAGGAATATTATCAGAAGCGAAATATTTCTTCTAGAAAAATCAAAGATGTTCCACCCGTTGCCAAAGTTAAGGAGGTACAAGATACTTCATTCGTTATTCAAGCACCCAGTTTGGTGGAGGATCATGGCGTACGAGTTAACGAAGTTGAAGACGAAATTGTTGATGCAAAAGTTAAAATTAGCGTAGCTATGATTAACGATGACATTAACGAAATCAAGGTGAAAGTCGGTGAAGTTGAAGGGAGAGTCAACGAGGTTGAAGAGAGCATCAACAAAGTCGAAGAGAGCGTCAACGGGATAGAAGAGAACTTTAGCAAGGTTGAAGAGAGAGTCGATGAGTTTAAAGAGGGTGTTAAAAACAAATTTGAGGAAGAATTTGAAGTTATAAATTTGTTCAAGAGGAGGAAGTTGCACGTGAAGAGAAGGAACAAGTGGATTGCGTTGAGGTATGTGATCTAATTGTAGATAGTGTTTGCTGTGAAGTTCATGTATCGGAGAAATTGGTGGAGCCATTGGGATTTTCGATTAAGAAGCCAAATTTTCCAACGCCTCGTTTGGAGGAAGATTTTGTAAGCGAGATTTCTATGCGGGGAATATTGGTGGAGCACTTGAAGTTGTTTGCAAAGAAATATGTATCGCTATATTTTGATCATAGCTCGAGGTCGAGCTCTTTTGAAGAAGAGGAGATTGATAAGGAACGTCAAATTGGATTCGTGTTGCAAAATAACTATTTAATTCGGAGAAGAGTTATTAATGGGCATTGGTGGAAATATCGAAAGAAATTATGGAAAAATAAGGGTTTTCGACGAACTCAAATCGTAGTTGAGTACGAAACGAACTCTATCTCAAGTGAAACGGCGCAAGGAACAAAACTCATGAGCTTTGCTCATGAATCACGTCCAATTTCAGCAATCCAACGTCGTTTAGACTCCTAAAAGTTCGTTTTTGCTATTTTAGGTAAGTTTTAGAAAATTAATATCAAATCATAGAAAAATCGTATTAGGATTCCGTAAATTGGGTTGTTCCCAAAATTACGAGATCTACTAGAATTAGGATTTAACTCGTTTTTTCCGTTTTTGGTAATTTTTAGTATTTTCTTATTTTAATTAGGGTTTTCAGTTTTTTTTAGTATAAATAGTTGCCTTAGGACTTTATTTTGGAAGAAATTTCGAATTTTAATAAAATATTTAGAGTTTTCTCTATTTTTCTGGTGGATTCCAGAGTTTTCGGTGGATTCCAAATGTTATCGTGTTCTATAGGATTAATTCGTAGAAATTAATTATTTACCGTGCTTCCGTCCTGCGTCACAAATGGAGCGTGCAAGTTGGTTGCCGAAGATGGTTTAAGAATTGGTCCGATAAATGGAAAGTTCTTGAAGCGGTACTACGCACGAAGCGGAGGAGAAGGCTCCTGGCCCGCATGAGTTGAAACTGTGCACGGCTAAAAAAATATAAAATATAAAAAAATAAAAGAAATAAAAAATAATCTATCTTTTTTTCTTTGAACTACGTTATGACTTGATCCCATTCGGGGTACGTAGGCAGCTTAGATATTCTCTAAGTTCAGTCATTTCCTTAAAAAAAAAATCTATCTTTTTTCTTTGAACTACGTTATGACTTGATCTCATTCGGGGTACGTAGGCAGCTTAGATATTCTCTAAGTTCAGTCCATTCCTTAAAAAAAATCTATTTTTTTTTCTTTGAACTACGTTATAACTTGATCCCATTCGGGGTATGTAGGCAGCTTAGATATTCTCTAAGTTCAGTCATTTCCTTAAAAAAAAATCTATTTTTTTTTTCTTCGAACTACGTTATGACTTGATCCCATTGGGGGTACGTAGGCAACTTAGATATTCTCTAAGTTCAGTCCTTTCCTAAAAATAAAAAAAAATTAAAAAATAAAAAATCGTTGAAAGTATAAGTACAGAATACTAAGGGAGCAAGATGGAAAAGGAGAAACTTTTATTTCATGAATCATAAAAGTGAAATAAACAAAAAAAAAATCTAAATTTATCTCAAGTGAAAGGGTCTAAATCGTTCAACATTTCTTTGGCATCTTCTAAAAGCTCGGCAGAAGCGCGCAATTCTTCTACCAAATAATCACTTAAAGGGGATGTATTTTCAATGGCACAATCTCTTCGTTAATCTCACGAGTTTCAGTTTGAACAGTATCAAGGAGTTCTCGTTGTCGTTTTAATAATGATCTCAACTGTCCCACCCTCACCTTCATAGCAGCACGCTCTTTCTTGACACTCTCCAAATCATTATTGGTGGCTTGAACTTGAAGAGTCTCTTTGTGTTCTCTAGCTTGAGTATTATGCAAACGATCTTTAGCCTCATCTAATTGTCGTGCTAGAATCTCTTTAGATGCCTTCTAAGAGTTCGACGACCTCACTTTATCATAAGCCATCGTCTGGGAAAATAATGACTTCAATAATTCCTCTATGCAGGATATGTCGAAATCACCAATATCCCTCATGGTTCCAAGAACTAACTGGACATCTTCTTGAATAGACGAAATGGAATCAATTGAAGTTCGTACTATCATCGCACGAAGATCTGGCCATAATTGGCCAAGAAAAACCCGTTTATGATTTCTTCAGGAAATTTTCACCCACAAAAACTGAACAATCACCATTGTACGACCCTTTCGCGGTCTCTTTCATCTTGGATGTTCTGGCAGGCATCAAAGCAGTCGGCGGCGAAGCTGCACCTGTTGAGCAAGCCTTGGCAGTTGAGTGATGACTAGCTTGAGATTCCTCGCGATCGTCAACGTCAATTACCTCCTTTTCCAACTAAAAAAAATCATTAAGACAAGATAAAAAAAAAAAAAAAAAAAGTGTTAAGTGCAACCTTCTCAGCAAAAGTGTCATTTGTTCGAGAATGACTATCCACGCTGTTATCAATATGAAGATCTTGTGGTTTTGAAGATTGCGGGTCCCTCTTCGGCTTTTTCCTATGACGCTCTTTGTGGCTATTGTCACTCTCATCTGATGGAGGCAAAACGTTCTTCTTCTTTATATCTCTAGGAGGGTTTTTAGTTTGGAGCACATTTTCACGAGAAAGATTGCCGAGACTATCTCTTGCCTCATCTTCTTTGTCTTCAAGTGGAATCTTACTTAACTCCAAGTTCATCAGACTCGCAGCTTTATCTTCAAGATAAGTTCCGTATGCTTTAGTCCACCATCTCTTATAGTCGTCCGTGTGAAACTTTCTTGGATTTTGAGGAACGATGGAAAACATCACTTTAGATATGGACTCGGGCAAAACACATAGACGCCAA